GACAACTGTAGTCGGGCAGGGAAAAAAACAATATCGCGTGACTTCTAGGGCATCATCACGACAGTACATCTTGCAACTGTCATACAATCGTCAACGTCTGAATGCAACAGTTGCCGCCGCTTTCAGACAAAACATGTAACATTAATCACTTCCTCTCGCCTTTCATGCTGTCCACGAGGGGACTTGCGTGTATTCCCAGAAATCCCTATCAAACGAGAAGGCTTTTATGGCAGAAATGAGTTCCCTCAATACCTGGCAGGGCATCTGCACTCTAGTTGATCGGACAAACACCAGATAAGGCAAATTGGCCAGCATCAAAAGAGCCGGGATGACGCCACCGATAATCCAGGCTCGTCTAAGCATAAAGCGGCGCTGCCGTTTCAGGGCGAAATGACGCAAAGTGATGTACCTGTCTACACTGAGAGCCATGATCAGCCAAGCGGACAGTTGGAGTGCAAAGTGCCAAGCGAATTTCTCCACAGCACAGCTCCAGTCGTCGGAGTTGCGCAATCGGGAAAATTCTGCTGCGTCCTGCCGAAGGGGTGAAATGAATCTGCTTCTGCTCATGCCCGTGCCGGTGGCGGCAGTGGTGACACCAACGTCAACGTCGACGTCAACGTTAACGCCAACGTCAACGCCAATGTCGGATCGGGTGGAATTGTGTCTTGGTGGCATTTGTGGGGTAGCGGATGGATGAGTGCTCGTTGGCGAGCTAAGAGCCTTGGTGACGTGTGAGTCGGCCAGGACAGAGTTCAAGTGAGCGTCGACGGTTTGCACGACCACGACGAGTGAGTCGGCCAACGAGAGGAAGAGCAAGAGAATGAAGGTACCGGAGGACTTGAGCAGAGCGAACACAATCACGGAACAGGCCGTGAGATGCCCCAGCAACCCGACCACGGCCAGCATGATCATGCTGATGAAGACGGCATGTCGGCGCTCGCGATGCCAGGCATACTCGTCTCTTTCTTGGCAGAGCAGGTCGGAGAAGATGTGATGCAGTGCTCGAGTATGAGGCTGCCTGGCGACGTCAACTTGGCCGACTTCTGCTTCGAGCTCCTGAGCGTCTGACTGTGTGTACAGCCATTCTGGTGGTACCTCTTTTGCAGATC